TACTAATATTAATTATAATTAAAATTTTAATTACGTCATACACACACACATATATATATATATATATATATATATATATATATGATTTCCTACTATTATTTTTTTTTAATTTTGAGTACATATTTAAAATTACAATTAAGCTCGGTAGCTTATTTTTGTAATTATAATAAGAAAAAATGCGAACCCCTTTGGCGCACTTCCATAGATTTAATAAAAATTGATTTGCAAAATTATTTCTTTCATTTAATATGATTTAAACTCAAAATATAGCACCTTCATTTAAGACGCCTTATCAAGTTGAATTTTAAGGCTATTGTTTACATATTTGCATTATTTCAAAATAATTGCCTTAAAATTTCACTTATACAAATATAAAACGGAAAAATTAACGAGGTTTTAGTAAATATGTTTAATACAGCTATAAGACTGTAACAGTTTATAGTACTCTACAATTATAACATGTGATATTTCTTACAAGGTACTTACATTACAAATAACCCCACAGATCTGTTTATTCTTAACGTTCAATTTGATAAAGATCTTTGAATAATAAAATAAACATTAATTTTAATTTAAATAATATATAATTTACATATTTGTTTCTTTTCTTTCTATATTATCCAATTGATATATTAATTTTAAAAAAAAATAATATTCCATATTATGAAATATAAAGAGATATAAATTTAATAATAACAATTTAAAAATATAAATAATACCACTAATTATTAAAATAAATTAAAAGATGCAAATATGTAATGATTAAAGAAAGATTAATATAGAATATGCTTGTTACATTTCATTCAATCATGAATGATTATTTTCATACTTTACCATTTTTCATTTTTAACATTTCTTTTATATTACTTTTGTATTTTATCTATTGATTTTTAGTAAGATATAAACATATAATAACTTTTTAATTACATTTCATTTTTTTTTGTCTTCTTGTTCTCTCGTATATTCCATTTAATGAAACATAAAAAAAATGATCTTAAAAAAAATATAAAAGAACAATGTAATTTTATCATAACATATTATATATGCAAATAATTTAAAAAGAAAATATAAACTCTTTAAATTTCTATTAAAAAGTGATGAATCTTTAAATAACATTGATAGAAATATGTACAAAACTTTAAATAGAGTAAATCAGTGGCTTTTCTTTTTCTATTTTTTTTCTTTTTTTATCTTGTTATGTGATGTTCTTATTTGTATAATAGGCAGAGTTTACAATAACCATAAGCAATAAGCATTTCCTTATTTTAATGAATTTGACGAGTATTTGAAGGAAATTGCGAGTGCAAATCGACAGATTGTTTATAACGCCACTGTTTTTTTTCTAACTATTAATGTTTAAATTTCAAATTACTAATTTGATACTAATCTTATTATTTATTATCGTATGATATCACTTCATAATATGTACTTCAATGAGTTATCAATATAAGAAGAGTCTTATTAAAATAATATATATAATTATAATAACGAAATTTTTTGTTATTCAAAATATTTCGTTACAAATATCATATTACACGCAGTAACTATTTTTCAAAGTTATAAAGAAATTAATTTGTCAATAAAATAAATTCAGTTGCAATTAATATTTATATTAATCGTACATTTTTTGTAACTCAGAATATGTTCTATACAAGTTTAATGTTCTTTAAAACAGATTGTTGACTAATTAGAATTATACATAATAAAATCAAATTATTATATTATAATCAGAGACAAATTTCCATTCTTTTTATAAAATATTTTGATTTCTATTAAGTTTAAATCATCTGCCTTGCTTTAATAATCTTAGTTTTTCTTAACATCTCTATTATATTGTTATATTTATAACTGTATGTCATATTAGGTTTCAATTGTATAATCACTGCACATATATTTTGGATGTCAAATTTCTTTAGATGTAAATTTCAAGGCATCCATTAGATACTGCATCAAGCATTTTTAGCTATAAGAGCATCGATTAGTCGAAGTTTTGCTTTTGCCTGTTTATACGATTCGTAAACGGTTGTAACTTGCGGGCCACGATCTTCTCTTTGCATTCTACGACCAGTACGAGCTTCAAACTGTGCTTCTAATTCTTTTAAAGCTCGTCGTAAACGTTTTTTCTCTTCTCTAGTTAATTTTTGTTGAACTAATAATTCTTCTCTAAGACAGATAAAATTGTATAATAATATAATTGGTTAATTTGATTATTTTTAAGAAATTGATTTTAATAAATTATATATTAGAAACTCACTGTGGTAATGCATGAAGACTTTCATTGTTACTACGACTTCCTTCGCTACTGCTATGCTGACTATCACTATCAGTTGGTAATTGATCTACCGAATCTATACAATCCAAAATACCTCTATGTGACATATCAGGTTCACTAGCTCTTCTTTCTGTATCAGATGAATTATTAGGTAAATTAGACGATGTAAAATCCATTGCTTCATGTTCCAAAATAGTAGCTAGTTCTGAAATACTATCTTTATTTTTGTTCTGTAAAAGATATATTTAAAAATAATTTATACATCTATATAAAATTTTATCATTATTAAGTTTATAAAATTCAATATCACTTACCACGCCTGCTCTAATAAGTAGTCTTTTTAAAGTTCTATATTTATCATATAAAGGTCGTACAATAGCTCTATCTTCTTTAGAAACTGGTCTTCCAAAAGTATTTTCAATATGAAGCAAAGCTTTTTGAACAGCAGTTTTTTCATCTATTAGTTGTTCATAAGTTAGTTCTTCCATATTTTCGGGTCTGTTATACTTTATTCTTTTTTCATTTAATTTCTTTTCTATTTCTTTTATCATTTCTTCCATTGACATTGCTCTAGACTTTTCTTGACTATTATTGTTGTTTATTGGACTATCATTAGCTATTTTTGTTTTATTATTTTCATTAGCTAATAATGCACTAATCGGATCTTCTTTTAATAACTTATGTTCTTTTCGCAATTTACTTAATTCTGTACATAATCGTTTTATATCTCTGTTACTCATTTTATCAGAATGACTTGGACGATAACCAAAATTTTCTTCAAATTCGTCTTCATATTTCTTTATCTTTTTTTTCAAACCATTTATATATTTAGTCAAGTTTTTTAATCCAAGTTCTGCAATATTTGGAGCACTAGGTTGCATTTCATTTTCAGAATAAAAACGTCTAGGTAATAATAATGAATTTCGTGGAGAAAGCATAGCTTCTACTCTAGCATCAACAGCTTCATCCTATAAATATGCGATTAATATGTAATATTATTATTAAAAATAAATAATAATAAAGACTAATACTCTACTATCGTTTACATTTTCTTGTCGTTGAAAAGTCCAGTTCGTTAAACTGGGATTATTTAAATCTTCATGACTAACTGTTGGCGGACGAGCAGGAGATGGTGATCGACTCGGTCCGCTGCTCAACATTTCCAAAAAACTTTGTGCTGGAGAACCATTACAACTATTAGAATTTGATGATAAGTTATAAATGTTATCAGCTTCTTCTTCGTTTTCCTAATAAAAATATTTTAGTTTTAATTTATAATAAAAATACTATATATACGTTCTTTTTTTTTTCTTTTTCATACAATTCAGAACATATGGAAATTTTACCTTACTAGAATTTTCTGTGTCCGCAATCTTATGCACTTTTCTTCTTCGAGGTTGCCTTCGTCCTCTTGGAGTAATACTTCGACTGAAACGTTCGCTACTTCTTAATTTTTCAGCATCACATTCAAATTTTTCTGTTTCTAAAACTGTTTCACAAGGTGAAGAAGTTGGTGGAGTTTTCTTGGATATAGGTGAAACATTTGTCCTTTCATGCAAAGGAAGACTTCCGCATCTCTATAAATAAAATAACTTATGTTCGTGAAAATTTGGAATTATATATTATATATTATAAATATAAATATAAATAAGTATCACCTATATTTAATATTTATTAAAAAAACTTACCACACCATGACCCATGTCTTGTCCAAGTTGGGATAAAATATGTAAATGTTTTTCGCTATTAAAATCTTCGTGACTGCTCACGCGTCTAATTGTATCTGTGGTTTCAGCAGGACTTTCAAGAACACGCTCCTCACTACTGCTTCTAAAAAAGTTCAATTCAAAAGAAAATAAAAGAATTCATTAAATTTAACTCTTTCGCTACTACAGGCGACTCTATAGTCGCTCTGTACAAGATGCCACTGAGGTATTACGAACGATTATAATCGTTCTGCATAAGATACCGCGTATCGTATGATATGACGAGTTGACGATATGATGATTGAAATTATTGCACATCGAGTATCTTTTTCTGGAAATATAGCATCAATATTTTGTTTTTATCATCAATTTTTTTTTTAATAAACACGTTAAAGCAACGATCTTTCTCGAGCACCGTGCACATTTTTGGTGCAGCAGCTCGTTCAATGGGAATGCCGCGGCGGAAAAGTAGCGAAAGAGTTAATATCTAATTTCTTGAATGAAAAACTATTTTCATTTCACTATACCTTATCAATTTTCGTTCTTGACAACACGATTCGTGACGTTCTTTACGTTTGCGCGGTTTCAGCGCGCAAAGTAATGATGCACCTTCAAAATCTTTTGGTTCGTCCTTTGAATCTTTGCAAATTTTACAATCACTTGCAGGGATTACACCATTCACCACGTTATCACGAATGCTGAAAAATCAGTAAATAGTGGACTTAAAAATTTCTATTAATAATATCATTTTTAATTATTTTTTACAAAAATATTATTATTAATTAATATAACAATTTAAAAATAGAGAATTACGAAAATTCCTAGCACTGACATGAAATTTTTAAACATAATTCTTGCTTTAATAAGGATAAAAAAGAATGATAAAAAGAGAAATTAATATCTAATTTATCAAATATATAAATATATATATAATAGTTCTAATAAATATTTCCATTATAGTTCCAAACAAAAAATAATGTTTTTAATTTTTCAAACTGATTTTTACTTCTTATTATTATTCTTATTATTACTAACTCTTATTCTTGTACGATTTTGTATAATATGGCATTCTTTGTGAATCAATTTGTAATTCAATTTGTAATTCAATTTGTAATAAAATTTGTAAATCAGAATTTAAATTACCTTAAGATTTTATGTAATAATATATAATAATAATATCATAAAATATATTTTAAATGCTAATAATAGCAGCAGAATTAACAGTAACAGAATTATAGTAGTATAATATAGTAGTAATAATATAGTAACAAAAGTAATAATATAGTAGTAAAAAAATTACACAATATAAATACATTTAATAATCTATTGCAATAATATAATATTTGCATACATTTCTTTTTTCAAGAATATATTTTTGAATATGTAAGAATTGAAAATATATATGTATTTACATATATATTAATATATAATAATAATTTAGTTTTTAATATGAACACTGGCATTGAAATATATGATTCTAAAAATATTTTCCTGCAAATATTTATTATAATAAATTTACATATACTTGTCGAATTTTATATTCTTCCTATTTTTTTATTTCTTTCAACTCTCAATTTCTACTATTAAAAACTAAAAACTAGCACAATAATCAGAAATTATGATGAGAATTATTCAACATTTATAAAAGTAATTGAAAATATTATATATATATATATAATTCTTTTGAATAAAGAAATACAATATAAGCAATCATATAGTATTGTATTACTCGAATTAATTAATATGAATTATTACTTTTTACAAACAATTATATATAAAGTGTCACCAATTAAATATCACATGCGTTAAATATTACAAATTATCTATAAAATTATAAAATGAGAAATCGAATTAAATTTTGAAGAAAAATGATTTAAAAAAAAAACAACATATTTATCATAGAAATCAAAAAAATTATAGCGAAAGGATAAAATAATGGTAAATAATTTTCTATATCGATAAGATTCAATGTATTACTGTATCTAGAATACTAACTTAGCTATTTTATTTCTATATAAAGAAATAATAATAAAATATTGTATATTGTAATCATAAAAAAAAAATGAATCATAATCAATCAGTTATTAAAAAATATATCTTAATAAGAAATAGATTACATTATTATAGTTATCATGCTTTCAGGATAAATTCTTTATCATTGTTTATTTAAAGATATTTTCGTGAAGTATACAAAAATAAAATTAAGATTTATAATGTTGTCAAATAATTTTTGTATATTATATTCCATTGTTGAAAAAAGAAAATTAATAAAAAAACAATAGATTAATAAGTTAACAATAAAAGAAAAATATTTTTAAATACCAATATATTTTTTTTAAATTATATCTAATTATTAATTTATAATTGAGATATGTCATATCACAATAAGTTATCGATAAATGAATACGTTAAAACTTCTAATTGCGTAATTAAATTATTATTTAATGAAAAATACATGAAATATTTCTAACTTTGGAAAGAATGTATATTCTTTATGATATATATTATTATAAAAATAAGATTAAAAATAAATTATATTTTTGTAAATGTTTTTTTTTAGTAGATTTTATAATAAATATCAAGATTTTATGTATTATGTAATTCATTGTGTTTTTATTTTTAATCTTTTTCTTTAAATCGAATTATCTTTTGCGTTAATATTGTTTTGGATTCAATTTGTTACGCTAAAAGGATCAACTTCTTAACTTGAATATTTTTTCAATGCCTGAAATTTATTAATAATAGTTATTTGTGTTTTTAATAAACTCAAAATACCAAATAGAAAAATCCATTCTTTAATTGCGTGTCATTACAGAAAAGTATGTAATAAACTTACTGTACATATCCCTTTTGTTGTAGCAATTGTTCATGTAATCACGAACACTAACTTTCTTTTCCAATAGCGGACCACCGGCACGAACGCGAGTCTCTCGATGATTCGATGGAACATTTATGGTTGCCTGCTTGTGGAACTAGATGAGAGAGCGTCCTCAGTCGATTTGTACGTAAAGAACACGCACGCTTTTTATTTTAAAATTTCAAAGAACCGTTGCCGTTTATAATGAATAAACCACACTTATTTCCCGCATAACTAACTAAAAAAAAATTTGCTAATTTGAATTGAAAAACGTGTTTAGAAATTTGAACACGATATTAATTTTCAAGAGAGAAGTTAATGAGAATGACAAATTTTTATATTCATGTAGATATATCTTATAGCTTTCGATTTAATAATGTACATTAATTAAGTACAACTTCCAATTAATCTGTACGAATCAGAAATCAGATTGCGACTGCGACGTATGACGATCGACTCTCCTCTATATTCTGTTGCTACAAGCTAACTGATCTTATAGTGTGTAGTTTGCGTGTGACGAGTTTCTGAACCAGTATATAGTGTCTATCAACCATGAACATATAATATATGTGACAGCCTCGAATCGATAATATCGAAACTTCCCGTATTCTCGTGCTCATATTCGATTAATATCGATTATACGTGATTTTATACGATACTCTTGCTAGCCTATTAAATTACATATGATCTTTTTTTTGTCAATTTAATGATTTTTACTTTAAATTACTTTTTTTATTTATTATTTATTTAATTTTTATTTGACAATTTAAATAAAATATTTGCTAAAGTTTAATTCGATTAACTTATGCGAAATTCTCAAGATTTTGCAATTCTTATAACAATAATAATAGCTTGATACTTGATTCTAATGGTAGCTTTAATGATAACCTTCACGTTAATCTAACGCTAGCCTGATAATTCTATTAATTTAATTCTATAATTATTTTTTCTATTCGATAAAATATCCACATTTATTAAAATAAAATCAAATTAAAATCATTATTATAATGTAAAATTTCATGAAATCACGATCTATGGCAAATATAACTTGAATACCTTAGCATCGCATGTTTGGTATCCTGACTCCTGACGTCAACGAATCGTTATTTTTGGTCGCCAATGTACATTTAGCGCGGAGCTACATCGTAAAATCACCGGTAATAGAATACAGACGTATTTTAACTATGAACATTTGTGACGATTATGCTCGATTTGTAATAGACCTTGAAAGAATTTTAATTATATACATATATGTATATACACACTTTTTGCAAAACCTTCAATTGTCAGAAATTTTCCTCTAATAAAAAAAGTTATTTTTAAATAATTTTGTTAAGTAATGTTTATTAGTCGTTTCAATTACATTTTTTTGTTTATTATTTGTTTATTTAAATATTATATTATATCATTATATAAAATTAATTAAAAAATCGAAGATGAAGTCGTGCTATATATGTGTATGAATGATTCAATTTATATACGATTATCTTAATAAAAAGTATTGCATAAAATAAACTAAATTATAAACATTCGTAGTATTTCATAAACAAATTTTAAATAAATTTTATAATATTTGATAAAATAAATACAAACATAAGAAATTAATGGCAAAAAAAAACTTGATCTTATATATCTTTTTATGATGGATTTAAAATATATGGAATAAATATTAAAGATAATTTTTTTGTAATCTGTTTTTATATAACTTAAAACAAAGTAGGCTTTGTAATTTGTCAAGAAACCAGTACAAAAACTATTAATAATCTACCGCTATTATGTAATTCATGTGACTCAATGACTGTTCAAAAAAAAAGTATTTATATCAAATTTTATTAATGTTCGAACATTTTTAATTAACATAAAAATAATATTTGTTCCTATATTTTTTAGTTTGCTAAAAAATTTATTATTAGTTAAATATCAAATCATAAGATTAGATGATTTCTAAAGCTAAATCGAGGAACTGCGCACTTTATTGGTAAAGTTAAAATAATTTCAGCCAAAATATCAAGGTAAAGTTTCTTGCAGTGAAATAATATACAATGTATTAAGACAGCGTTTTTAGAACACATTAAGATCTCTTAATACATATAAAAAAGAATTTATAAATTTTTATAGTAAATTTTATAATAATATAAATTTAATATAAATAATAATAAATTTTAAATCTAAAATGAAAATAATTTCTTCAATTTTCGAATAAATATAAAAATATAAATATATAAATATAAATGTGACTTTTAAATCAACAAAAATAACAAAAATAAACTAAAGAAAATCATTGCTATTGTTTTTATATGATGGATATTGATATTAAAATTATTTCAGTAATAATTTTAATATATTTTATTATGTATTTATTATGTATTATAAAAAAAAACTAATTTTTATATTAATCATTCTTATTGTTTTTATTTTTTTTTCTTGTTTTTTATTAAAATTGAATTAAAATTGTTTAAAATATTTTAATTGTTTAAAATTGGTTAAAATATAAAACTGTTTGTAATATTGTTACATGAACGCATATGTTATATATCTTGAACGTTAATCGAAAAATAAATATGAAACAAGTATCAATTGAGATTTAAAAAATTTTAAGAAAAAAAAAGATTTGACGATATAAAATAATTTCAAGATCAAGAACTAATGTATATTCTTAATAGAAAACAAATAAATTAAATTAAATAATATATATATAAGTATCTGTTTTAAATTTAAAATATATAATATTAAAGAAATTATTAAGTTATAAAGTCTTTTATACGTGTTTAATATAATATTAAAATAAATTCACAAAGCATTAAAAATTTAAAGCTATTTTATTGCATTTTGTTTTTAAATTACGATCACAATAAATAATAATATCGTAATCGTATCTCTTTTTAAATGGAATCGTAGAAAATCAAATGCATAACTTGCATTTGATGTATAATGATGTTTAATGATGTTTAAACTAAAAGTTTTAATATATATTAATTAATATTGTAATTTAAAGCAAATATAATATAATGGAACGATAATGTTATTAAAAATTATAAACACATTTTATAATTATTTCATAATTACATTTTTTATAATGAAGTATATTTTGAATTTATATTTCTTTTTCTCTTTTTTAATCAGAATTAATTCAAAATATAATTATTATAAATATTGATTTAAATAATTTTTATATCTTTTAATAAAAAGAAAAGAAAAAAATACAAGTTATATTTATAGAACTTACCAGTCCGGAAAAAGTGTAGATGCTTCAGCTAAGATATCACGAAGAAGCGTGGTAGCAGGTGGGACATGAGGTAGAATCACAGGGGCGAATACACCACAAACACCGGCGCTACGTCCATGTTTAGCTTCATATTTGCTTAGATAGAGAGCCAAATAACCAAGCAAACGATAATGGGAAGATGGTAGAGTTGATAGAAGCTCTTTCGTTAAATTAATCCAACAGTCATGATCGTTAGTGTAATTCTCTATAAGTAAATTCAACATGTTTTTTGTCTTAAAAATTGAAATTTTTTTTAAAAAGAAAAAGAAATAATAATAATAAAAATTAATAAGTGCTTACGGGCATGAATGGTCAATAATCTAGCTACAAAGGTTGATGGTACGACAGGTTGTGGCAATTCTTTTAGGTATTGTCGAAGAAGCGTTGCTGCAGTCAAAGGACAAGCTGCTGCTTCTAAATCAGCATCTCCTCTTCTTTCAAAAGTAGCCCTCAATCTTTCTGCCAATCTTGGACTTCCACCGGAAAGACGAAATACGGCAGCACTTTGAAATCCATGAGTTTCGATATAGTTACACAATCGATGTACTACAAAAGGTACACCTGTATCAAGATACGGCTCAATTGAATCGAGCCGAGTACCAAAAATCCTCGAAGATCCTCCGTTACGTCCCAATAATGATACTGCCAGAACGCGTTTCACTTTTGCCAAACGAGATTCATCCTTGGAAATGATTAAATATCATATATCATTATTAACGTTTACAATTTTTATAATATTACAGATTAATTAACATTTGAAAAATATGAAACGTACATAAGAAAAATTACCTTGTCGTGAACTTGTCGAGATTGTGGAGGGCTAGTTGAAGATCCATGATGATGATGATGATGGTGATGATGATGATGATGGTAATAATGATGATGATGATGGTGGTTATTGTGGAGATGGTGATGATCTTGCTGAGGACGTCTCATCCCACTTTGTCTACACCGCGAACCGCCGCCGCCGCCTCCGCCGCCACACTAATCAAATTAATAAAATCCAACCTTCTTTTATTATTGAAATATATATATAATGAATATTAGTAATGAACAAATGAAGTATATTTTAATGTTGTTAAATTATCAGTAGTATAATTTCTAAATCTTTTACTGTCTACTTCAACAATACGTTCCAAAATAAATCTAATAGAAGACGCTACGTTTCTGTCGATAAGAATTCAATACCAATCGAACAATGGGTGCCGCGACACTTAATCTCTCAGTAGCTTGATTGATAAACTTTTTATGCAATACATTTCTTTAATATACATACAGTAGAATGTAACTATCGTTCTAGCCGAGGTCGTGTATCGATTAATATCAATGACGCATTATTCGTCGTTAAACATTTACCGAAGTTAGCCATAGAAATCATTAGAATGGGAAACTCACAATGCACTCCCTCGCGACCTTCCACAGGTTGAAATAAATGGAGTTCAGCCTGGATATTACTTCGAGTTACACTTTCTGATTATTTATTCTTCTTCACAGTCGATTTTCCAGTGAATAAGATATACCTGAGAAAGTATCTTCGAAATTGTTTTACGTGTCTTTCTTGAGTGCAAAAAGATAAATAATGAAAAAGCAAGTATTTTATTTAATAATACTTTCTTTTATATTGATCGCTTCCCTTATATATCACCTTTTTGCTTAATGAATTTGCTTTGAAATAAAAAATTTCGTTCGTTGAAATTATTTTATATGTATGTTTTCTGTTTGAGAATTTTGATTTTCCGATGTTGTCGTTGATATCGGCGTTGACTTTGATGTTAATGTTCGTGATTAACGAACCACGTATCTTTAGTCTTACGCGAATGATTTTTTAAACAAAGAATAAGGAACTATACAAGGATATAAATGGATTAGAAAAATTATAAGGACAGGTGAATACAGAATTTTCGAAGGAGAAAGGGACCAGCGAAGAAAAGTCTTTTGTCGATACACGCACGGAAGTTTCGAGCAATTTTAAAGCGACGTTAATAACCAATACGACGTTAAAAAGAGATCGCTTAATTCGACTAGTTTTGGGTTCATGTCCCTATCACGGCACATCGCATCGAGCCCTTTCTCTAAGGCGAAGGGCACTGCCTATGGCTGTTTTAGGAAATGAGTCGACACCAGCCGTAGCGTAAGCATCGAGGGTCAGAACCAAAGATGAGTTTTAGGTCACCACTTCGCTCCTTGTCCTAGCATGATCCACATGTCTTCTTAAGGTGTTACTGCAACTGCTTTCTGAAATTAATAAAAATAATTTAATCATTTTATTTATTTTTTCGGATTTTTTATATATTTTTTTTTAATATTTAACAAAACAGAGATATGATTAAACAGAGATTAGAAATTTTCTTTAAATTTTGCGACTTAAATTAAATCACAATCGAATTATAAAATTATAAAATTCAATAATTAATAATTTTTGAATTTTTCTCAAATGAAATTATAAAGTTTGGCAATTTGAAAACTCTTAAAATGTTTTAATTTGAATATTAATTATTTTTATTATTAAATATAAATATAATTATTTCTCAAATTCTTTCACTTGAATAAATTGTTTACATAAATATTCATGTAAAAAATTTTAATTCATTGACAAATGAAATTTTTTGATAATTGTAAACGCATAAAAAAATATAATCTTTTATATCTAATTATATAATTATACAAGATAAAAATTTGTTAGTTAATTCGATGTCGTAACTGGACTAACTTATAAAGCATTAATCATACAATCGATATTTCGCATGAATACCATGGAATGTCGTATGAGAATAATAAAAAAAGAAAAAAATTTTATCAAATAAATTCATCATAAAATATTCGTAAGAGAATATATGAAATGTCATAAAAACATTGTTTACTTTCATAGTAGAAGTTACAAAGAAATAGGATCAATAATAATTATAAAATTATAATAAATCTGAATTATATATTCACACATTTATTTTGGAAAAACTTCGATTTTTACATAATTCATCTCTTTTATATTAGCAATATATACACGTGAAATATCAATGTATCAATTATGATTAATGCTTTGTTAAAAATTCTCTATACTAAAAAAAATAATAATTATTTAAATATTTCACTGTAAATATTTTTAATTAATAAATAGTAATATTGATCTTTTTGAAAAAATTCTTTCTAGATAATCACAAAAAATGGAAAATTATGAAAAAAATGACTTATAGTTAAAATTAGCAATTTCTAAAGGAAAAAAAATAAATCGAATGAATAAAGAGAAAGAATAAAATATACCTCATAAAAACTAGGATAACCATAACGATCAAAGCAAATCATGCACAAACGCCCCACAAAATGTTACTGAGTTTTCACGATCGTGTAGCTCCCCTTTTCTGTCCTATCCCTTGTTCACCTCTTGGCGTCTATATTCGATGATAGCCCCCTTTCACGTCTCTTCTGTTGGCGAACGGAATTCGAGTAGCGTTTCCAGTGTATCACATACCCCCCTAGCAGCAGATATCGCGAGGACGAGGGCGCATGCACTACCTCCAAGAATCAATAGACCGTTCTGGTCACGTGAAGCATCCGCGAAAACAGAGACCTACCTTAGACAAAGACAAAAGTGTACATAGAAAAAAGAAGAGAATAATGAAGGAAGTATACATATGTATACTTACTCACTTAGAAAGAAAGAAAGAAAGAAAAAAAGAAAGAAAGAGAGGAAGAAAGGAGAGAAAAAGCAAAGGATAAACGAAAGAAAAGATAATAAAACGATGTAGATGAAGAAAAATATGAACAAAAATGAGAAACTATGAAAAAATAAATGATATGAGATTGAGAAAATGAAACAGAAATAAAGCAATTCATAAATAATTAATCAATTTAATCATTTTACATAAAGTTCTTAAATAATAAATATTACTTCATATATATAATAATATACATAAGTTTTAATTTCGGAAATTCTTTAATTATCATATATAATAACAATTGTAATTTATTTTATATATTTTCAAATATTCATTCAGTGAAATCCTATAAAAAGAATTATAAATTTCAGAATTTATAAATTCTTTTAGAATTTTATATATTTATTTTCTTATAAATATTTTTTTCCAATGAATATTATTAATTTGATTCTTTATAAAATATTATAAAACAAAAATATATTATTGTATTTGTTCTTAATCGATTTCTTTCTATACTTTATTTTAATAAAATTCTGAAAGAAATAATTTGAAATGATATGAAATTTATTTTAAGTATGTACTTCTTATTTATATATATTTATCTTATACTATTATGTAATATATATATATATAGTTATTTTATACTGTATGTATATTTATTATATCTAATTTATATTTATTGTATATCTAAAAATTTTAAATATAATTTTAATTTTATATACATTAAATAAATAATTATTGTTATTAAAATATGTATAAAGTAATATATTTTCAATCAATTTCTACCATATCAACAGAAATAGAAATACGTACAATGACTCTTTTCAGTTATATATATTTATATGTCACTACACATTTATGATTCTTATTTTTATTTTATTTTTATATATTTACAATATTACAATAAAAACGAATAAGTGTAATCTTGTTTTTAATATTGATTATTTTATTTAATATTCAATATATATAATTATCCTTTAAGAATTATTTTATAATAATTGATAAATAAAATAGTTATATTATTCATATGTATGTATATTTATATTTTTAATATTAAATTGGCATCAAAAATTAATGACAAATCAAATATATATGAAATATATGAAATATATGAAAAAAATTAAAAAAAATATATAAATACATGTATATAAAAGCATATATGTACATAATATCTAATAAATAAATATTTCAAATAAATAAAAAAGAACATACCCTTCTATGGTGCACATATTCTTTGTTTCACACATAATAATTTCTGTATTTTTTTTAAATTTGTAACACATCTTATGAATCGCAATAAACTTAAATTTCATTACCAAAAATTAACGTATTATTTGAAATTTTACGAATATGAATAGAAAATATAGAAAATTAACCATTCTCCGATTAATAAAATTTATGTTTACATTATCAAATAAACACATATAAATATATAAATAAGTGAAATATTTGTTCTAACCTTCATAATAAAATAAATTTAAAATAATATATTTAATAATGCAGTTCGAAACGTATAATTGAATTATTTAAGCAGGTATCATGCTCACAGCATTGACAAAACACTATCATACGCCATATTAGTTGCTCTTATATTCAAATTGATTAATTATAGTGATTTATGAGAAAATATATTTGTTTAATATTACATATAAAGTTTTATGCATTAGATCCAAATTAATAAATAAAACAATTATAAAAGAAGTTAATTATAACTAACATTTTATATAAAATAGAAAACATAAGAAATATTTGAATTGATTATTGTATATATTCGATTCCTAAGTTTTGATTTATTATTATTTGCAAATAAGTTTATATTTATATATTATTTATAGAGGAAAAAATATTTTTATATAAATAAAATAGACTAATATTATTAATACAGATACAATATTGGAGAACATTGAAAGAGAACAATCAAGGATTGATTAAAATATATTATTAAAAATTGCTGTAAAATATAATAAAATAATATATTTAAAATAAAATATTGTATTAATTGTAACAATTGTAATTAAATATTATAAAATAATAATATTCATTATGAAAATATTTTATTATATTTGAAACAAAAATGTTATACATTATTGTTATAAAGTAGCAATCAAAAAATTCAAGTATACATTCCATACATATTAAAATAATATATTTATTTTATACAAAAAACATAGGTGAACTTTTATTATTTTTAAGGTCATTTTTTTCCGCTGTTCCTCTTGCAGATTTTCTATATTCAATGAAGTACTATACACATATAAAAATCATAATTATAAATATGCAAAAAAATTACAAATATAATAAAATATAAATAATATGTATATAAACTTACTTGTGTATTAATGCTCTTGCTCTAAAAGCAGCTAAATGTGCATAATATGTAGGTGCAGGATAACTGACAGATCTTGTACAACGCGCAAACATATGACAAAGATAATATGTAAGTTGTTCTATTTCATTTTCAGGCATTTGATTTTCATTGCATATACATCTATATTTTGTAGGCCTAGCAGTACCCTATAAATATTTTGTAATGCAAATACTTATTTTATTTTATTAATATAATGATTACAACTATTTTTAATTGTAGAATATTAACTTACTTGTATGCTAGTATGAGATACAAGATAAAAATCTATATGAGTTGGATGTGTAATTTCAGTATCAACAATAGTCCCTGCTTGTACATTAAAATTTTTATCATCAGAATTCTTCACATCAGTTGGAAAAAAGCGTACATGATGTCGTTTTTGAACTACAAGAAATGTGATTGGGATTTTTATGTCATTAGATTTCTCTAAGCGCGCAATAGCTCTTTTTATTGCAGATAATTCTTTATGTATTACTTGTTTAAGATGTCCTTCGCTTACTCCATCTCTATATATGCGAAAATAAATACTTATATAATTGAAATTTTAAATCTATATTTCATTTAATATTTGAATTTATATACCGATAAAAAATTAATTTTTGAGGTTTTTGTCTCGTTATTCCAAAAAAGTATTTCAACTGAATAATCATAATTTCTTCCAAATCCTGAATTATTTCTTCTCTCGGTGATTGAAGTCTTATTTCAACATTATATTTAAAAGCATTTGGATCGTGACTTGCTGCTACCTATAATATAATAAAACATTATTAATTATTATATTCATTTATAAAAATTTTATTATTATGAATAATTATATTTATATATGGTTAAAACTAAAAAACTAAAAAAATCTTACAGCTGCAATTGAGGGTGTATTTATTGCATCAGGTGATGGATGAGTCACATCTGCACCAATTATCATACATGGTTTACGTAGGCAATTTGGACTAAAAACATATTTTATATATATAAAATATATAATACATATATATATTAATATATATTACATGTTACAAAAAATATAAACTAATATTACCGACAAGTAGGGGTAATAATATGATTAATACCATTAAGCTTTGAATTAATTTTTAACAAAATATTCCCAATTGTTGAATCATTTAATTTTTTTAAAGTTTGATTTTTTATACATTGAGTTACAATACCTTCATGTATTTGAAGTTCACAAATTTGTTTTACAATACCTTAAAAAAATAAAAATAAATAAATAAAATATTTTATTAAACATTTTTTTTTTATATATAAATCAATATTTTACTTACTATATGCATTGTCTAAATTTGGAAGTATCACTACTACAAGTAATATCTTTTGTTTTTTTTTATCGTTAAAATATTCGATAATTTTATTAATATTTGTTTCAATAGTTAAATTTGCAAATGGAGTTAGTGCTTCAGCAATTTCCATGTTCAAGAACTTACCTAAGTAAAACATAATAAAAAAGATACTATATTAAAAGAATATTTTAAATGTCATATTAAGAAATTTCTTTCTTTGATACTAACCACCGTTCTGTAGTTTTTCATATAAATTATATAAATCATGATTATATATGCGATTATCCAAGTTTAAAATAGTCCATGATTTCTTTGGTAAAATACAAGGAATAAAAAATTTTTCTGCTTTCCATATTCCCTTTTTTACATTAACTTCCTTTTCTTTATACTGTAATTTTGGAGCTTCTAGAACTCTTGCTGGTATTTTTTCAAATTCTGGATTTACAGAAAAATGAAATTCATCCATTAAAGTTGGCTGCTGATTTAAATTCATGTTAGCAAACTGTAAATAAATTAATAATTTATTAATGATAGAAAATTAATCTTATTTAAGTATTAATTTATTTTATTTAAGTATTTAAATATTAAAAAACTCTTACATTATTCATAATTTTTTCTTTACGTTTTCGTGTATCAGTTGCTGTTTCGCGAATCATCTTAGAAGTTTGAATTTTATTCATGTCTTTTTGTATAACTTGTCCAGCAATTATTGTACATAACTATATAAAAATAAAATTAAAATAAACTTATTAATATTATAACTTTAAGTGTACATATTTTTTTTACTGATATTTACCTCAGCAGGTAAGTAAATTGAGTTTTTTTGAGATCCTACCCAAAGACATGGTAAAGTGGGATATTTTATTGTATATTTTTTAATTTGTAAAAAGTATTGTTCAACCGAATATAAAGTTTGATCTTCCAAACGAAATTTATTTTCTCTTGCAGAATTAACTAATTTATTTACACGATAAGTTCTTTTAGTAGTAGGTTGTCCAGGTAATTCATATTGAATTTTTAATCCCTTTAAGAATTTATTTATATTAAAAAGATTCTGTTCTACAACTTTTGGAGTTAAATCCTGTACATTACATAGTTCTTTCATCAAATCAATAACTGATTGACTTTTAGGAAATCCTTTATGTGCAACTAAAATAAAATAAGATATTAAAATTCAAATAAAAAAAATTCAATGAAAAAATATATAATTTAAAAAATAAAATAGATATTAAATATGAAATAATATTAATGATATAATTATATTAATATATTACCATCTATATTCAAATATGGTTTAGATCCAATTACAACAGATTGAAATACACCAACCCATAAATCTAATCCATTTGATAATGATACAACTCTGCCTGGTTCTGGTTGTTGAAAAAGTGATCTGCCAATCTGAATATCAATATTATTATTTAAAAATTAAATATATTGAATTCATTATACAATGAACAATATATTATATATAATTAATGTATATAATCATGATTATAATACATATATAAATAAATCAAATTGTTAGTTAATAATAATAATAATAATAAATAAAATTATTTATGTTAAACTTAGTTATTTGATTATTTTTATGATAAATAATATGAAATAAATTACCACTGTATATTGGTATGCAGGTCCATGACGTAAAATAATTTCTAATGCTTGTATACATTTTTGATTCCTTTCAGAATCCATCAAATCACATTTTAGATTTTTTAACCATGATAAATCAAGAGATGCAACTTTATTTAAGTATATTTTGAAATTTTTTTCTCTTCCTGTATTAACATCAAAAATTTTTATTTCTTCTTCTTTCTATAATATATAAAAACAATTAAAACATTATAAAATAAAAAAATCAATATTTTGAATATAAATATATGTATATGTTTATTCAAAAAAAATAAAATTTAAATAATATAAATTTTAAATATATATCATGATTAAAAAAATTATAGATATATGACTTACACTTTTATCACCAAAAGGAAGATTTTGTGCACTATATGCATTTTTTTTACCATCAAATGCAGGATATCTTTTTGGACATTGTTTTTTCCTAAATTCTTCAAAAACAGTCCTTAATAAAAATTTTGGTTTATCTGGTGTTATGATTACATCATAATGTATAATATTTGTTTGAAAATTTTGTGCAAAAATGAGTTTAAGCATATTTGTTTCCACAATAATATTTCTACCTGGTTTATTTGTTTGATTAGTTCGTTTTGGCATTTGAGTGACATACATATCATGTATATTTTGTGTGAGTGAATCAATTTTTTTTGAAACAAGAGCAGTTTCCTAAATCAAAAAAAGAATAAAAAATTCTTAATTATCTATAAAATTTCATTGCTATGAATACCTGCTGTGACTGTTTTGAGTCATGAGATATCTGTGAAACAGATGACTGTTGCTGACTATGTAATTCTTGCTGTTGTGAATCACTTGGTTGTTGCTGTTCTTGATGACTTTCTGACATTACTTGTGAGATACTGAGCTGTTGTCTTTCATCATGTGTTTGTTGTTGTTGCTGATTAGATTTCCATGCTTGTTGCTGAGGACTATTCGACTGTTGCCTTTGACCATGTAGTTGCTGTGGTGAACTATGTTGTTGTTGCTGATTAGATCTCCATGCTTGTTGCTGAGGACTATTCGACTGTTGCCTTTGATCATGTGATTGCTGCGGTGAAGTAAGTTGTATTATATATAATTAATGTATATAATCATGATTATAATACATATATAAATAAATCAAATTGTTAGTTAATAATAATAAATAATAATAAATAAAATTATTTATGTTAAACTTAGTTATTTGATTATTTTTATGATAAATAATATGAAATAAATTACCACTGTATATTGGTATGCAGGTCCATGACGTAAAATAATTTCTAATGCTTGTATACATTTTTGATTCCTTTCAGAATCCATCAAATCACATTTTAGATTTTTTAACCATGATAAATCAAGAGATGCAACTTTATTTAAGTATATTTTGAAATTTTTTTCTCTTCCTGTATTAACATCAAAAATTTTTATTTCTTCTTCTTTCTATAATATATAAAAACAATTAAAACATTATAAAATAAAAAAATCAATATTTTGAATATAAATATATGTATATGTTTATTCAAAAAAATAAAATTTAAATAATATAAATTTTAAATATATATCATGATTAAAAAAATTATAGATATATGACTTACACTTTTATCACCAAAAGGAAGATTTTGTGCACTATATGCATTTTTTTTACCATCAAATGCAGGATATCTTTTTGGACATTGTTTTTTCCTAAATTCTTCAAAAACAGTCCTTAATAAAAATTTTGGTTTATCTGGTGTTATGATTACATCATAATGTATAATATTTGTTTGAAAATTTTGTGCAAAAATGAGTTTAAGCATATTTGTTTCCACAATAATATTTCTACCTGGTTTATTTGTTTGATTAGTTCGTTTTGGCATTTGAGTGACATACATATCATGTATATTTTGTGTGAGTGAATCAATTTTTTTTGAAACAAGAGCAGTTTCCTAAATCAAAAAAAGAAATAAAAAATTCTTAATTATCTATAAAATTTCATTGCTATGAATACCTGCTGTGACTGTTTTGAGTCATGAGATATCTGTGAAACAGATGACTGTTGCTGACTATGTAATTCTTGCTGTTGTGAATCACTTGGTTGTTGCTGTTCTTGATGACTTTCTGACATTACTTGTGAGATACTGAGCTGTTGTCTTTCATCATGTGTTTGTTGTTGTTGCTGATTAGATTTCCATGCTTGTTGCTGAGGACTATTCGACTGTTGCCTTTGACCATGTAGTTGCTGTGGTGAACTATGTTGTTGTTGCTGATTAGATCTCCATGCTTGTTGCTGAGGACTATTCGACTGTTGCCTTTGACCATGTGGTTGTTGCGGTGAAGTAAGTTGTTGTTGCTGATTAGATCTCCATGCTTGTTGCTGAGGACTATTTGACTGTTGCCTTTGACCATGTGGTTGCTGCGGTGAAATATGTTGATATTGTTGTTGACCAGATGTCTGTGCTTGTTGCTGTTGCGAATCACTTAATTGTTGCTGTTGTTGTTGATTATGTTTCCATACTGTTTGCTGAGGACTATCTGACTGTTGTTTTGGACATGCATGTTTTTGTGAAATATCCGATTGCTGGTGCTGACTATGTACTTGTTGTGAAACTTGTGAACCACTTGGATTTTGTTGTTGATCTTGTGAGCTACTTTGTTGCTGTGAAATAGATGAGTGTGGATGATCTTGCACATTTTGTTTTTTCTTTCCTATATAAAATATAAATTTATAATATATATGAAAAAATTATAAAAATTTTTTCTAGATATATATTTAAGATATATTATTGCTTATTATAATAATAGTAGTATAATAATAGTACCTTTCCGTCCCATTTTAATATGCTTTATTTGTTTGCAGCAAAAATCGTTAAGTTTTTTTTTATGTCAATATTCGAATATCATACAATATCCTTTAAAGTATTAATTGTTAATTTCTATTATATAAGTTTTGATCGAACTTTTAAGAAACTTAAGAGACTTCAAACTTTATATTTGTTTTTACGTCTTAAATCTTTTTATATAGTATATAGTATCACTATCATTAATTATTTTTTTGTTTAAAATTAGGGGAATTACACTTTTAATTGCCATATGTTATATAGACTTACCAATTTCTATTGATTTTAAAGTCTACCAACTATCAACTAAATCATATAATTAAATATAATATTACATTAAAAAAAAATAAAATATATTTTTTCAATTATAATATATTTAAAAAAATATATATTTATGTTAAATTTTCTTTAAAAATTTCATACATTAATATTATATTTAAATATGAATATGCAATTCATTTAACGTTAAAAATTTTGTTAAGTTGTTACATATATTTATCAATTAATAAAATTCCCTAGAAAGTTAAATTTAAGTAATTAAATATGAAAAATTTTACGAATATTTTTTTACATTTTAAATTTTACAAAAATTCTTTGAAATATATCGATAAATTTAAATGTTTATTTATATTTATGATTATGATTTTGAAAAATTAGAATTTCTAATTTTATTTCTATATTTGTATATTTATAAAATAATTTTTACTTTTTATTTACTTTTTTCATTTTTAAATTGTTAATAATTGTTCAATCTCAATTTTATTATTATTTTGTTCTAGCAATATTATTTCATTATTATAAAATATTAATTAAAATATTACGAAAAATAATTACAAAAATTTATATATTGAATATAAAATGACATTTAATCTATTATCTATCCATATCTATTTATAAAAGATCCATAATTCAGATTAGTCTGCTTGAATGTTCTATTTAGTAAGAGAACCACGGTTCTCGAAGTGATGTGATGATTGTTATGTTCTTTAAAGAATATGGCAAGATGGCGACATATTTGAAGCGAACGTCAAAATTGTTTAATACTTCTTTGACACGATCATCAGTAGATATTAATCTTAGAGATTTAATATGTCCAGTATGTCGAAGTATTCTAATTGAACCAGTAACATTGCCGTGCACACACAATCTTTGTTTAAAATGTTTAAAAGGTACATTCGAACACAATAGCTTGAGTTGTCCTCTGTGTAGAATACGAGTCGGTTCTTGGCTACGTACAGCAACGAAGACTGAAACATTAGTTAATAACAGTCTTTGGGAATTAATTCAAACTAAATTTTCTAAAGAAGTTGAAAACAAATATAACGGTGACGATAGAAGTGTCGATTTGGATGCTGGTAAGTTTCTAGTAAGACAAGATAAACAAATGTAACATAACCTCTTTAAGAAATCAAGTTGTATATTATAATTTTAATTCATATAAAAATATATAAAATATGCTTATATAAATACATATAATATTGATATTATAATAATTACATAATATATTATTAATATTATAATTATATAATTTTTAAATGAAAGCATAATGCATATATTTTGTTTTTTGTTACTTATATTTATTGATAATTAAGAAAATATTATTTGAATATTATTTAAATTTAAATTTGTATAAATATATAAACATAATAATATATAAAACAAATATAATATATAAATTATTTTTCTCGAACAGACTATACTGGTACTAATAAAATCCTTAGTGCAGCTGGAGAAATTCGACAGGAATATGAAGTGCAACTTCAAATGGCCGAAGAAGAAATACGATGTCAAAGGAAAGCTGAACAGATAGCCAGTGAAACTTTAATTCGTAAAATTCAGGAAGAGGAGCAACAACAAAAACTAGTTCAATTAACTCAAGATCAATTACTTGCTAAATCTTTAGTAAAGAAACAACTCGAAGATAAGCACAAAGAAGTATCTAAATATAAGAACTCTTTAAATGTATCTAATACTTTTCATAATTCAAAATTTAATGTTGCTACTATGACTGAAGTTAATTCATGTAAATTGCAACCTCATAGTTCAAAGTATGAAAAAGCATCTCTTTTAGAGTCTCAAGATAATTCTGGATTAAGAAGATCAAATATTGCATTAATTTCTAAAATTCGCGCAGAAAGATATGTATCTAATATAAAAAATAACATAGATTTGTCTAGTACATGTAATGATTCTACAAGTAAATTTTGCTGTCAAAAAACTATACCTGTATATAATACTATTTCAAGAACTTTAAAACATCAAACAGCAACTAAAATAATAGAACCTTGTATTTCAAAATGTTCCTTGGAACCAAGAACATCTATTTCAAAAATATATGGTACTCAAAGCAAAGAAGAGTTGCATGTACCAAATGATATTGTGAACAATAAAAAAAAAAGCTTAAGTGTAGAAGTTTGTGTATCTTCGGGAGATGATGATGAAAGAATGGGAAGTGCCGATAGTCACGATAGTCATGATAGCATTAATCAAGAAATTCATCATTTTAAACCTATTAAAGCTATGCCAAGAACACCATTAAAAATGTCTACAGGTTAAATCATATTTTTATTATACATACAACAAATTTCAAATGTTTTAAATAATTTGAACAATTATATTACAGATGGAAGACAAATAGATCCAAAATTAATTAGAGTTGTTCCTATACTTAAAAGAATATCTAATGTTATACCTAAACCTCCATCTCAAATTCATTTAAAACGAATTATTGGATGTTCTTGGAGTGCATTTCGAGGTAATTTTATACTTATATATATATATAATATAATTATAAAATCAGAAATTTTAGAAAATCATCAAAAACAAAAGCATAATTATATTTTTTATATTATAGGTAAAACTAAACAGAGCTTTAAAGAGAAAGATGTATATAAAGAAGACATTGAACAAATGCCATCAACATCTTGTAATCAATCGCAAATTATCGTTAACAAAACAACAAAATTTCAAACTCATGATAACATTCGTAAACTCGAATATATTTCGGATTTGTCATTTGATTCTAATAAGAATTATGCTAAGAATGTAAATATAATTAATGGTACTAAAATCAGTAAAAAATTAATGTTAGAAGAAAATAGAGACGTTAGAAAGGTACAAAAATCTTGGAAATCTCATATTAGGAATGGCATGGTATGTAAATCTAAACGACAAAAAACTTTATGGACTAAAAAAGATATTAAGATTGCAACAAATACAAAATACATGAGTGATATTGAAATGAAAAATGTAAGTTCTCCATCTACATTTTGCAATGAAAAATCTGAAATACAGGAAGAAGATGAAATAACAATGGAAAATATTGCAGAACGAATAAAGAAAAGAAAAATAAATACAGATAAAAAGAAATCTAATACAGTATCTTCTTCATATTCAGATTTAAAAATCACTAGAAGAGACACAAAGGAATTATGTAGAAAAGAGGAATTTGAATACAAGATGACAAATGATGTTCCTGTTATGATACAAAAAAGGAATAGAACTAAGTTTACAAAAACTGCCTTACCAAAATCAAAACAGCGAAGGGTACGTTTAGCAAAACAGTCTATTATAGAAAATTCTGGAAAAAGTGACACTTCTATAAGATTAAGCTGTCGGATTAGCAATTCAGGATTAAGAAAAACAACACGTAAGATAAAGCAAACTAACATTTCTATAAATAATGGAGCAGATATAATGTATGAAAATATGAATAGTAATAATTGTAATTCATCTGAATCTTGTATTGAAATGCAAGAACATATATCAAAAAATAATAATACTGAAACAAATACAATCATAGAAAAAAATGTTCTATCGGATGAAGAGATCATTAAAGAACAAGAACGAATGGAAAGATTAGTTATACAAGAAAAAGAAGATTTTGAATTAGCTCAAAGATTGCAAGCGAAATTTGATGAGATGGAAGGAATAGCTGGTCGAACCAGACGATCTAAAAAGGCAATTGAGAATGAAACGATTGAGTTAGACTTGTATAAAATCGATACCAGAAGAAATGTACAAAAAGCAATGAATTCGCATACTGCCAAGTCATCAATTATCAATCATACTATAAATACCGAGACTAAGAAACGTGGTAGACCTCCAAAACGTGTAAAATAATCTATGAGCATTGGTCGTTACGTCGGCAAACCGCGAACCTTCCAAATGGATGTTCCTATAAATTATAAAAAAAAGGTTTGAATTTCTCTTTTATATTGTACAATATTTTATCTATATTAATCAAATTATTTGCGTGGCTTGACATGCGTACCTGGATATATTAATGCGATAAGGAACAAAGAACAAAAAGTTTTAATGCATTTAGATATGTTCAATAAATATGTGCATATGTTTTATAACATATTTTACTTTCATTTAATGTTAAAAATTGAAAAATTATAATTTAAATAAGATGAAAATTTTTTTGAAATTCTTTTCAAAGCAAAAAAAGAATTTTCAAGCTTTTATTCTTTGTTCTTTTTTAAATTGTACAATAATAGGAAACAAATTTGACTGATTCAAAAAATACACATTTTGAGATTAAAATTATAGCTTTAAAAAAAATTATTCTCTTTAGAATCAATACATATAAAATAAACATTAGCATCATATTTTTTAATAAGATAGGATTATTCATTTTATAAAAAATAAAATAATTATTGCAATTTAGTGTCATATTTGAAACATTATTATCTCTTACATAAAAACAGGAGAAAGTAGCTGTAATATAAATTTTCATTATTGAACAAAATTTCATTATTGAACACATTTAATATATTTCATATATCATTTTTTTGTGTCTCAATTTTTTTTATATATCATCATTAATAATGATAACTAAAAATATATATTTTGAAAATAATTGTTAATGAATTATAAATATTCCAATCTTAAAATTTTTTAATTTTTTCGATTGCTTTTCGATTTTCAAATTACACAAATAGATATTTTTTTATAAATTTTTCAATAAAAAAAAATTGATTTTATATATTTGAGAATCACATAATAAATATTACACATACACGCATGCACGCATCACACACACACACACACACACACACACACACACACACACACACACACACAACAATAAAGTTTTAGTAACTAC